AAAAGAACAAATATTCAGTACTATTTTCTCCAGTCCTGACATTTAGCATGGTTTCCTGGGGAAGCAAAGCTTCCATGTCTGGGGAGAGGGACAACAGATAGAAATTTTTTTGATGATTGTCTTATGTTCTATTTAATGATCAGTTTAAGACAGAGAAAAGATACACAGTTCCTACCAGTTCTCTAAAAATAGGCAGCAGGTAGAAGAACAAGATCTTACGAATAACCCCACTAGTATAAACCCATCCCCATCCTCACTGCTTCGCTGGGCAGTCACCAGCAGTCAGCATAACTGTAACTCCAAACAAGGGGAGGTGCCAAGAGTACAAATCGTGGGCCAGTGAAAGAAAAGGGACAGCAGAGTGGAGAGAGGCAGCACACGACAGCACAGATTTACACAGGATACTTTTAGGCAGTTAACACAAAATTTTGTTTGGCATATTTTACAATTTCTTGTTAAAGGAGCAAATGATCAAATATAAAGTAGCTAACTATTTTAAAGAAGCCACTGTACTCTACAACAGCACTAATTATGCAAAAATCTATCAGAGACATTCCTCCTTTCATGTGCTTCCTGAAAAGTAAGAGGTATCCCTGCAACCGATATGGGGAACAGAAAATGACAAGTCCCACTTCAACTCTTGCACAAGCTGCACTGTTCCATCATGCCATACTGCCAGACCAAAATTAATCCAATACCTGACAAAAGCAATGCTTCTTTTTCTTCCCTTCCTTGCTCTAAGGACTTCAGTCCTAACCCTCCCACAAAAAAAAAAATGGTGAAGTTGCAGAAAAAAACATGTAGGATATTAAATCTACCTAGCAAAAATGCACAGTGGTATTACGAAAGGTCAGATAATACTAAGCATTAAGGCAGAAATTGTTCTCTTTCCATAAAGGTACCTGTACACCTTGACTTCACTTTCTGTATCAGCATTACTTGCTTTTTTGCAAACTTGATGAGATCTTCTTTGGGCAATGTGTCCAGCTGTAAAAAAGTACATATTAAAGAAACCACCTTCCTCTGACCCAGAGGTAAGCAGAGAACAGGGCATTTTAGCAAGTGACTTCTAAGAAGTTAAATTTGAGGGCATGAAACTGTCTTATCGCACATTAATAAGAACAAAGTTATGGCTGTTCTGCTATCCAAATCTGTTATTTCAAGTGCAGTAACAGAAACTACTCCTAATTCTGCACTTTTCCAAAATCATTCTAGAGCACAGAACTGGGCAGCATGAGACAGACAGGAAAACTCAGCTGGGAAGGGTTACAATTCAGTAATATAATTTGAACAATGTTTGGAAAATAGCATGCTGACCTAACACCGACACTGTTTAAATTTACTTCAACATATGCAAAGAAGTCTGTGTACACTGTGAAACAGACTGCTGCCAAAACTGAATGCTAGTAATATTTTATCAAATACTGTAACAGGAAGTGAACATATCAATGAGATTTTTTTCCCCATGCTTCCCAAAACACTTTAGCCTAGTGCTTATACATCAATTTTTCAAGAAGTCTAAAAGACAGGAAACTGTTTAAAAATATCTTTAAGTCTTCCTATTAGTCACAGCTTGCATGCTAAGCTGCAACCCTTTCAACTACTGCTACCCAAATAAATTAGGGTTGATTACCTTTGATTTGCCTGATCCCGGTGTGCCAGAAGATGCCACCAGCTCTTGCCCAGCATCTTGAACCTACAACAAAATAAAGTACAATCTGTGGATGAACTTTTTAATGTAAGACTAATAAAGTAAGTAACTGAAAGTCTGTGAACACTGAGAATAATTTAATATAGTAAAAGCTCAAGGAAAAAAATGAAAAATATATTTGAAGGACTAGTCTGAAGGATAATGGAAAAAAATTCAGTATCTATCGTGATTAGTACAATACAACTGCAGAATAGAAAACTCTTGATTTCCAAACCAGTATGATCTTATGATTCCATTACTAAATTGACATCTAGAGTTGATACACTACTGAAAAAATATTTTATTTACAAGAGGTTACAAAGGCATGACTCACTATCTTGTTCTTAAAAGACTTATTAAAAAAAGGCATGAACAAAAAAAGCTTGTATAGGAGTAGCACTTAAATCAAACTCTGGGAACTTTTGAACCACATATACTTCTCAGCTTTTTTTTCTTTCTTAAACACACTAGTTATCACTACAATTGTTGGCCTAACAACTGTATTTGAAAAGACTGCAAAACCAGGGCTCTTCTGAACAAAATATAACCCTCCCTGCCCCCCTGACTTTTTTTTTTTTTTTTAACCACACTGGTTAGCACTAAAACTGCTGGCCTGACAAACAGATTTGCAAAGGCTCTGCAAATTTCTGGGCTCCCCATTCCTAATACACATGCATAACACCTTCTACTGTAAACTTCCACAGGTCTAATCTGGGAGACTATGTTACTTTACAGTACTTTCTACGATATTTCTATGAGCTTACCTATACTCAGGAACATGGAGAAACATACATAACTAAGATGGGGCAAAGGAAAATGGCACTGATACTTCCAATATATTAAAGGGTAGCATTTCCAAGCTTTGACCTTTACCCTGCTTTTTCCTTCATACTATCATATTTGTGTGTGCATAAAAGTGAAGAGAAGTATATATAAATATTTGTATTTTTATATATCTACATGTTTGTGTGTGCATGCGTGCATATATGCACATACCTTCAATTTTATTTTGCTACTCTCTTTATTCTGACAAAAAAAACCCACCACCTTATAATAGAAACTAAGGAAAACCCAAACTGGATCTAAACATTACTAGAATGAAGAATCACTAACAATTTGGAGAGAACAGCTGATACAGATAATAAGAAAGGCCATCATTAGAAATATGGGTTCAAGTACAGACCAAGGACAAAGGCAGTTACAGTTATCTTTCTCTGTATCACATGGGCTAGAGGTTTTTTTGAGATGGCAAAAGCAAACCTATTAGAAAATAATGTGCCTGTAAAACAAATACAGCATTAAAAAAAAAAAAAACCTATGAAGTTTTAGATTTTTTTGGTACGCAGAACTCTGTAAACATTTACATTCCTAATATTTCAGCACTGTAGTTAGCAAAACACTGTCACTACAAGCAATATGCTTACACAGTATAATTAAGTACAGTAAGTTGTATGTATTTAGGAAAATGATAGCACATGTCTCCCCATACTACAGTAAGGTCAGATGAATTTGCACATTAATTTTACTCTCCTTTAAGCAACATGGAGAGAGGCAGAACCAGGTATTATGTAAGACAATGCATCCGGTTTTGCTGTTCTGGTAACAGAAACCAGAAGCAGCTTGGGTAGCAGGCTTCACCCATTTGAATTAGAAGAACAGAGAAGATTAGTTACTAAAAAGCCCTCAACTTTTAATTGGTTAGATACATCTGAGCTGTGAGCCAGCAGACAGTACATACACTTCTAAGCACAACACTGAATCCTGCAAGGATTCTCAAGTTTCTCTTCCACCATTCTGAAACCATGGTATGCTTCCATACTTTACTGTTATATACATGTTTTATTTTTTAGTCAAAGCCTACTTTATCTCCACTAAGGTGTTTCCAAGCCACAGTTTAACATGTTCTGTGTATTTTAATTGCTACCTGTACCTTACTTTTGCAATAGCTGAACACTCTGAAAAAGTCTAACCGATGTATGAAGGCAATATATTAAGCTTTGATGTAAACTGTGGCAGTAACGACGATTACAAAGACCAACTTTTTGAGCAGAATGCAACTTTTAGGCATCACCAATTCTAATCCTACCAAGTCACATAAAAACACATTCCGAGCTGTGATCGCTTCAGCAAGTTGAGGCAGGGTTAGAACGCGCGCAGCTCAAACTACCAGGCCAGTTAATTTCATGTAGGAATTTTAAACTCTTCAAGGTTGCCTCTGGATTTGCCGTGGTGGTTATGAAAGCTGCACTAGACACATACACTACAGTGATTTTATTCGCTCGCGTCGGTAGGCATTTCCCAGTCGGCAGGCAGTTAACACATCAGGTCATCCCACTAGGAAAGGGACGTTTGTTCACCCGCGGGCCCTCCCCGCATTCACTGCGCGCCACCTGCCTGTCTCTCCCCTTGAGTCAGCACCGGCTGACCGCCCCCCCCGACCCCACACGCCGGATGACACCCCCACCTTCTGGCGGAAGGCACGAAGCGACCCCCCCCCCCACGAAGCCCGCGCCGGCGCCCCCCACGCCCGCAGGGGCAGGACAGGGGCACCCGTTGCCCACCCACCCCCGCGGGCAGGCGGCGAGCAAGGCCGAAAGGACGCGCCGCGGCCCGGGGCCATCCCCGCCCGCCACGCTGGCCGCGGGCGGCAACCGCTGAGGCGACCGCTCCGGCCTCGCGGACAACCGCCCGCCAACGGCGCGCGCGGCGGACGGGCTACGGGTGGGGGTGTGCAACCCAAGGTCACGCGCGCCCTCACGGAACCACCCTCCCCCCCCCCCCCCCCCCCCCACACACAAACACCCCCCGAGGGCTCGGCGTCCCCGCTTCCCCCAGCCGCGCCCGCCGCCCCGTTACCTCCATGGCGGGGCCGGCCGGCTGCAGGGGCGGGGAGATCGCGGCACCGCGGCCGCTGTCAGCGCCGCTACATCCTCCCCGAGCCACTTCCGCCTCCGTCATCCCCCGCACGCCGGCGAACGCAGCACCTTCCGCCAACCCGAGCCGGCCGCAGCACTAGGCGCCGCTCGTCAGTGGAGCCCCGCCCCCTCGAGGCCAGGCCCCACCCCCCCGCCGGGGCCCGGCCCCGCCCCCTGGCAGGCGGAGGCGGCTGCGGCGGCACGAGCCGCCTCAGGGGAAGGGGCGGGGCCGCAGCGGGGCCGCAGCCCGCGCCGCCATTTCCTCGGCCGGGGGGCGCTCCCGAGGGGTACGCGCGGCTGCCAGGGCCCCTCGCGGCGTGGGGGGACTGTCAGTGGGCGCGTCTGCCTCGCCGTCGGCGGAGGGAGGGTGTGGGGGGAACAGCTATGTGCTCAGACGGGTGCTTAAGGATGCAGGATCCTGGTTTTAATGACGGAAGCACAGAACGATTAAGCCATTTGTCAGACTTCGGATATGAAGGACTGTAGCAGAGCAAATAGCAGAAGCCAGGTATTCCAGCTTGTAGTTCTGTTTTTTGTTTGTTTTTTTTTTTTTTTTTTTTTTTGTTTTTTTTTTTTTTTTTAATAGTTTTACGGTCATTCGAGTAAGTGTTTGAGGGGGAGCAATACCTACTTCAAAGTGCACACAGTTTTTCATTTCAACCGTGCCTGCACTTTAACAGTGCTTGATTTATTTTTGACATTTCCTGGTAAGTAATTGATTTTTAATGAGAAGTTGCCTGGGAGAAACAATTTAGGCATCTTACTCTATTTACAGTTCACTGAATGAACGTTGAATCTCACTGAATTAATTGTACTGTCATAAGAGAATAGCTATTACTTTAATAAAAAAAGAGAGTTATGTTAGTCAAAATGCTGTTCTTGGAAGAAGAATTTGCATTTTTCCAAGTCTCCTTATTGTCATTTTTTTAAAAAGTCAAATGTCAAATAGTGACAAAAGGCAGAAATGTTCTTCACATACACCTCAGAAATTATTTCCTTGTCTTCCCCCCCCCCCCCCCCCCCAGTGCATTCACTGTACATTATATATATTGTATATTGCAATACATGCAGGTACACAACTGCATCAGGAGCATATGGTTCCATGCTCTCACAGAGGTTGCTGGCAAGGAACAGATTGCCCTGATCAAACAGCAAGGAGCAGTTTTTCCCGTTTACTTCTGTTATACTTTTTAGAAGCCCCGCAGGGCACTAAACAGATTAAATCTTTCCCATCTGCTTTGGGAGAATCGGAACTGGGTACCTATGCCTGCACTGCTGTGGTCTAACATGTGCGTTTCACACCGCTTCAAGAAGAGCCTTTCTAGATACAGTCCGTCCAGAACCATCCCGTGGCAAAAATTTTTGACCCTAAACTATGCCATACTGCACGGCTTTGTCCCTCCAGGTCAGCCTCCAATTGAATTTGGACATTTGGGGAGAACACTGTAGGAAAGCTTACCTTCTCTTTTGAAAAACCCCAGAGAAAACAATGTTCCGTGTAAATTTGTTCCTTCTATCCTCAGAAAAACACGTATTATCCAGCTATTGGTTCATCTCATGACTTAGCCTATGTGGGAATTGATTTTGGAGATGGTCCGAGGCAGGCACATGAAGGGCTGGTTTTCAGATGTCTTTGTACTGAAGACAATGGTCTACTGGCTCATTCATTGTAGGCTTTTCTGAAACTGATTCTGGCTACAGAGCACTCACACCCCCCCAGCCCCCCCCAGAGCGCCCTGCCTCTGTGGAACAGGTATTTGTCAGAGACAGGCCAATTCTCCCCTCCCACCCTGCTCCAGAATTTGGGCATATTTTATAATTGAGATTGTCTTGACAGTCTTTCACTCGGGTCCTAAATTGCAACAGCAACTGCAAAGCATCCTGGTTAGGGAATGGTAGGAGAATTTTAAAAGTTTCTCGACTTACTAGAAGAAAAAAGATTGAGGATTTTGACAGTTGATAGTTTCAGTGTGTTACAATAAAGTACAAATTGCTCCATATTTTGTGGGAAAAAATGTTGATTCATACCTGCAGTAGTCTTACATAATTTTCTTAAACAGTTTGTGAATTGTATATCTTACCTATCCAGAAGGAGCCAGTAAGTTGATACATACTGCATGTAGCTAATTTGAGACAAGATAAGTGAGAAAACCAAGAAAAATTTATATGCTCCATATATTCTATGATTTTATTATCTTTGTAAAAGATAATTAGTTCACCTTTTAAAATAGTATTGTTTATGTAAAACAAGACTGTCAAAACATTTATGAGATGTGTTGGGGCAGAGCACAACAAACTTTAAATCTTGCTTTCACTGAGAAGCCAAGTCCCACAGGGCTGTAATCAGTAAACAGCTTACATCAAGGTAGGTTACAAATGCTTGTTCACTATCATTGGAGTTGTTAGACCCGCAAGAATTTTCTGAGGAGCACAGAATGAGAAAATTACTGTAATTTTGCAACTGAGGAATGCATTTCCAGCCTACAAGAACTGATGCTTTAAATACTTGCCACTGTAGAATCTGCCTTTCCATCAGGTTCTGAAGATCACAAACTCTTGGTTGTGAACCATGCCGGGCTCGTCAGCATTCTTGCTTTGAGCTACTTTTATGGCTTTTCTACATGCCAATTTAGTGTAAAGAAAGGCAGGGTATGAATTTGCAGTATGTTAACTATTCTTCTTTGAAAACTTAAAGTATCCTCCCTGCCCCATGCAAATGTAAAGTCTTTGGCTGACTATGGCCATTTCGTTGGGTTGTGTTCAGGTTCAGCACTGGAGTGGAATGGTAGAGGCTACAGGTAGAGTGAAGAAGTTAAGAAAGCATAAAAGAGGAGGCTAATCTGAATGTTTATATAAATAAGATGAAAGGGCAGTATTGTCCTTTGTATTTATCTCAATAGTACTTTGTGTGTGAAGGGTTTGGTTAGGTGTTAATAAATTTTATACATTGTCCTTATTTCTGGTCTTAAATTGCAATAGGAAACTGAGAGGTAAGAAGTTTGTTCTATTACGCGTCTGAAAAGCCCACCAAGCCTGTTGAAAGATTAGCATGAAACTGAAACAAGGAAACTAACATTTTGCTTGAGCACTTAGGGTTGGGCCTGGCTTTAAAAGACTGTTCCATTGTTAACAGAACATAAAAGCTCTTTCAACTGCACACAGAGATAGTAGCAAATATAAATCAATGAAGGTTATTGGTACAGTAACAAGTTACTGTGAATCAAGAGGCCCAATTTGAATAATTTAAAAAAAATAAAAATTAGTTACCTTAATTTTTAGGTGTCTAACCTGAGACTCTACCTACACTTATATTGCCTGTACCAGAACAGGTCCCAGTGTGGCTTGCTTTTGATATAAGCCTTCTGCCTCCATGGTCATGGTAAATGGCCATGACAACTGTGAGCATTCACACAGTCCTGCAGGCAGTCTGAGCTCACGCTGCTGTTAAATACCAACTGCCCTTGCAGCAGGCTGTGCTGAAGCCCTTCTGCAAAATAATCCATGAATAATTTGCCTCTTCAGCGTTAACCGTGGGACACTGCTGCGTGACAACATTCCTGGTCCACCTACAGTGCCTGAGCCTGTGCTTGGCCTGGAGGGCAGGCAGAGCCTTGCTATCCAGCCTAAGCCCATGGCTTTAGGTCTGGCAGCACAGTTTGGTTGAATCTTACATGTATGAAGGGCTTAACTTTCTCTCTCAGTGTGCCTCAGGGCTCCCTTACAGCCTACACCAAGACAGGGCTTGCACCACTCATTGAGGACATGAAGGAAATGGAAGCTTCAGTCCAGGCTTAAGGTAGAATGTTAATGCAGTTATGGAAAATTCCAGACTTAATAATTAACCGTGTTGTAAAGATAAGTCACTTTGTGAACATGTTGGCATAATCACTATAAGAAAGATACAATGTATATATTATAGGATAGGATATCCATTTCCTATATGGATAGGACAAATTAAATAAAAACTACTTCCTGTTTGCAGTCTGTTTCCTATCTGGAGAAACAGTGACTTTCAATCTGAGCATGAAGCAGATAATCTGCAGTGGGAAGAAAAGCAGTGTCTCTCTGCCTTTGAATGCTAGCCAGGAAGACAGAGCAGCTCCATTCTCTGTCTCAAATTTTTTGAAGCTTTGTGCTTTTTCTATTTCGTAAATGGTTGCATTCCCTGTGAAAGTAAAATGGATCCTCTAGTTGCTATCGATAGTCAAGCTAAAGGGTGATCATGACTACCCTAGAATTAATACAGCGGTTCGCATGAAAAAGTCTATATCAAAGCAGGAATCTTCAGTCATTCCCCCTGAGAGCATTTGTTTTGGTAGTTGTTAATGCAGAACTAGAAAACAGAACCATGTGAATGTGTAGCGTGTATTAATCAACGCTGATTTTCAAACATTTGTTAGAGATGAATAACAAAGTTTCTCAGCTATCAAAACTCTGCAGGCACACTTTATTATAAAAGAAGAGACAAGCAGCATTGAAGTTGCTGTGGGATTGTGTTATCTAAACTGACACAAGTCCTTTTTAAACTGACATAGAAGAAATTGCACCTATGTAAGAAGGTCAGTAAAATCATGCACCTGGGTAACCAGATGAAAATAAAGCATAGGTGTATATTCAGGGCGTATGGCTAATAGAGCTTTGTACGGAGCTCTATCACCATAGTAAACAAGAGTCACTTGTTTGCACTGGAAGCTTGACAATAGTTTAAACTGATTTGAAATAATTTAGCTGAACATGTACAACCTCCTTTTGCAGGTGCTCAGTATCTTACGTAAAAATAGATTAAACCTCTTACCAACTTTTGTTGGTATTGGTAAACAATCTCTGTATACAAACACATCATTTAAAGCTCTTCTGTACATAACAACCGACAAACCTAAAGATACGTAAGTTAAAGGTGCTCTAGATGTAGGCACCCTCCAGTCATCCACCCAGAAGCATGTGCACACCTCTGTTGCCATACTGTCATAATAGACACCAAAGCATGGCACTCTCCAGGCCCATTGGGGGATGCATACAGCCTATTAACCCTTTTCCCAAACTTTCCTGGTAACTGCAGATCCAGTCATTTTCCCTGGTAACAGTTCACTGTTCCCTGTAGTTTTATACTGGTATAATCAATAACATTTTGCAAATGATAACTGAATCCACAGGTTGATCTCTCTCAGCTGTGGTGGCTTGAAAGGGCATAAAAAGCAGAAACATCTCAATTTCTATCCCCCTGCCAGCTATATTTTGTCATAAAAGTGAACATTTTTGTCTTTGAATATATATAATATCAATAGAATAAGAAAAGCCAGTTTTTATGTAACCACACATCCAGTGTTTGTTTCCCCTCCTTTTTTTCCAGGATTGCACTGTGACCTCTGTTACTTTTTATCTGCTTTACAGAACAGCTGAACTGTAGCTGGGTGAAGAGTTACCTAAGGAAGCGAGAGCAAAGGTGACTTTCCCAATGTGATATGAGCCCCTTATTATATTGTGCCTCTATCCTTGCAGTGACTTTGC